ACTTATTCTCGTATCTCTGTAGTGATTCAAATACTCAAGGCAAGAAGAAATACATGTGTTTTCAAACTTATTCCCCAAAACGCAAGTTCTGGGTTGAATGTTTTTTTTTATTACAATCTGATTGTCTTCTAATTTTATTTTCTTATAATATTATAAACAAACGCCTAGTTCATCATCACGTATGTAAGTTAATTATATAATTTATTTTTATATGTTCTCTTTCATGAAGCAACTGAATGAAAAATGTTATTATTACAAGTTACAATTAAGGAGTACTTTTTGATTGTAACTGGGTAAGAAAAATGTTAGATTAGTTCAAGTAATAAAATAAAATAACAAATTACTACAATTAACTTTATTTATACAATTTTTATATTTTTATTTTTAATATGTTACTTCCCTTAGCTCATTTGTAGCTTCATGAACATGTTCTCGAGCCTTTGAGCCACGTTTTATTTGTTCTTTTAACCTAACTCTTATATTAGCAGTTTCATCGTCACTGGTAACTTGATGAAGGGCTATTGCCCAAAACATCATTTTCTTGTTTTACTAATAAAGTTTTTTAATTTGGTGAGTTTTCACCACTATTTTATATTCTATTTTACAATTGGATAAGATAAAGGTTCATATGAATTAAACAGCAGGATTTATGACAGTAAGGCTCAAAAACGCATCTGTAATTAATAAGAACACCACCAATACTAAATATTAATAACATTTTCTGTTCTTGATCTTTACTTATTAAACTGAAACAAAAACAAAAAACTTATTTGTGTCAAGAACTTTTTTCTTTTGTTGCTGCTATTATATTTTTCAACTGCTTTTTACTAAGAATCTAAAAGAAACTTGTACATCAATAACTTTTACCTTGATGGGTGAGATTCCCGTGAAGCAGTAACAACAGAAATATTCATCTTAACTTCCTGCAGTTGTTTTTCGTATTCATGTGATGAGAGGGTAAAAGCAATAATGGAACCAACATCTTGATCGTAAACAATTATCGGCACCTTGCAGATAAATGTTTGGAAAATACAACTCGCATACAAGAAAACAAAAAAGTCATTTTATTCACTGCTTAGAAAATTTTGGCCTCGATTTACTCTTTGATTTTATTTAAGTAACAAAACACGCCCTTTTAACATGTTAATAAGTATATTGTGTGACAACATAACAATTACATAGTTTCTAGTGGTAGCTAGATGATATGTTAAAAACTCCATAAATATATCTGATCAAAACATTTTACATATACACATAAAGAGTCGAGTTATATAAAAGGTTACATAAAAGTGGCAAGTTAAACAAGAGAAAATTTTAACCCATTTTTATATTCATGTTGCTACTCATTCCTGTTATAATAAAAAGGTCCCTTTCATGGCCACATAAACTGATTTTTCCTACAATTTAGTTCACAAAATACAACAAAAAAATGGTTCTTTTTAAAAATTTTTACCCATGTTAGTTACAAAAGGTAAACATTATTTTCTTAGAATGTTAAGAAAAAGTACCCATGTGACTATCTGTCTACTACAAGAACCAAAAATTCCATATTGTTAAAACCCTTTATCAGGATGCAAAGTTATTGTTTAGCACAAACAGAAGTCATCTAGAAGATGAAAAACACCACCTACTTGAAAGTCTTACCTACATAAACAATTATCCTTTGAAAATCATTCTGAATATTTTTAATTATTCCTTTGTTTATAAAAAGAAAACAGAAATTATTTTAAAAACTATGTTTTGTATCTCTGTCATTTTCACAGGTTTTTTGAGTAGTTTATAAAGGAATATAACTTTGAAACAGACACAATTTTCTTTCATATCAAAAAATTTTAATCACAGCCCTATCCACATGCAATTTATCAATTTAAATGTACAAATTGCTATGCTCTTCATAAAGGGGTAACTTAACTACAACACAAATGCAGTCAGCCCATCATGTTTTTAAACATTTCAGGAACTGCGAGCATAACTGACAACATCAGTATTTTAAAGTTGGAAAAGAATATTGCTCTGTGAAAAAAACCAAAGAAGCAATTTTAATAACAAACAAACTTTTGACCAGGCATTAGCCAACATTCTTGATCAACTATTTATATATCTTAAAAATGGAGGTAGTCTGACATCATATGTAACTTGTTTATTGATACTTGATAGCTGAATTGTTCTTGTTTTGAACTTTCATCAAAGCCTGTTTGCATACCAAGTAATTATGAACAAGTTTTTTAGTATTTTATTCTGACAAAATGTAAATATTAGTTGGTAATATTAGTATTATTCACTACATAAAACATCTGAATCACACACAATGAGACAGTTTTCTTCAATTGGCTCATACAGATCTTTGTTTATTCATCATTTGTTAGATGGAATCTTTTCAGCTATTCACTACAAGGTGACCTTTTGTTGTAAACAGATTCTTTGGCAACATTCTGTTGTGACCAGTTTACCTGACACTGATAAGTTAACTCAGTGAAATGTTGAAAATTAATTAATTTTATCAGAAACTAAATGGGGGAGGGGGGGAAAGAAAACCCTTTTTTTTAAATGTTGATCGTCAAAGATTATATACACTTCTTTCAATTTCATAACAACAGAAAGGTTAGAACCTTAGTGACAACAATGTATGAATCCTAAAGTTGAACAAAACTGAAACTAAAGAACTTGGATATTTAACATCACAATCACACCTCTGTTTCCTTTTTTTTAATGGTCTGATTGATAGTAATGCATTTTAAGTTTCTAACAAGCCTAATAAGACAGTGCTAGACATACGTGTAACTGTTGTTTCAGAAGAGTCAGGTTACACAGTTCATAAAAAGTGTAATCAGCAATAATATATTAATCAACCTTGAAAGTCTGGTGGTATTAAAGTACTTATATTGTATTTACCATAAATGTAAAAAGACTAGAAACTGAAGCCATAGACTTATGACGTGCACATACCTTTCCTGAACAAGTGGATAGACTTCTGACGTACACATACCTTTCCTGGACAAGTGGATAGACTTCTGACGTACACATACCTTTCCAGAACAAGTGGATAGACGTCTGACGTACACATACCTTTCCTGAACAGGTGGATAGACTTCTGACGTACACATACCTTTCCTGAACAAGTGGATAGACTCTGACGTACACATACCTTTCCTGAACAAGTGGATAGACTTCTGACGTACACATACCATTCCTGAACAAGTGGATAGACTTCTGACGTACACATACCATTCCTGGACAAGTGGATAGACTTCTGACGTACACAT